CCAGGGGCTCCACGCTGCTAGGCTTCCCTACACACCTTCCACAGTACCAGCAGCCAGGGGCTCCACGCTGCTAGGCTTCCCTACACATCTTCCACAGTAACAGCAGCCAGGGGCTCCACGCTGCTAGGCTTCCCTACACACCTTCCACAGTACCAGCAGCCAGGGGCTCCACGCTGCTAGGCTTCCCTACACACCTTCCACAGTACCAGCAGCCAGGGGCTCCACGCTGCTAGGCTTCCCTACACACCTTCCACAGTACCAGCACAGGGGCTCCACGCTGCTAGGCTTCCCTACACACCTTCCACAGTACCAGCAGCCAGGGGCTCCACGCTGCTAGGCTTCCTACACACCTTCTACAGTACCAGCAATCAGGGGGCCCCACGCTGCTAGACATCCCTACACACCTTCCACAGTCCCAGCAACCAGGGGCTCCACGCTGCTAGGCTTCCCTACACACCTTCCACAGTACCAGCAATCAGGGGCTCCACGCCGCTAGGCTTCCTACACACCTTCCACAGTACCAGCAGCCAGGGGCTCCACGCTGCTAGGCTTCCCTACACACCTTCCACAGTACCAGCAGCCAGGGGCTCCACGCTGCTAGGCTTCCCTACACACCTTCCACAGTACCAGCAGCCAGGGGCTCCACGCTGCTAGGCTTCCCTACACACCTTCCACAGTAACAGCAGCCAGGGGCTCCACGCTGCTAGGCTTCCCTACACACCTTCCACAGTACCAGCAGCCAGGGGCTCCACGCTGCTAGGCTTCCCTACACACCTTCCACAGTACCAGCAGCCAGGGGCTCCACGCTGCTAGGCTTCCCTACACATCTTCCACAGTAACAGCAGCCAGGGGCTCCACGCTGCTAGGCTTCCCTACACACTTCCACAGTACCAGCAGCCAGGGGCTCCACGCTGCTAGGCTTCCCTACACACCTTCCACAGTAACAGCAGCCAGGGGCTCCACGCTGCTAGGCTTCCCTACACACCTTCCACAGTACCAGCAGCCAGGGGCTCCACGCTGCTAGGCTTCCCTACACACCTTCCACAGTAACAGCAGCCAGGGGCTCCACGCTGCTAGGCTTCCCTACACACCTTCCACAGTAACAGCAGCCAGGGGCTCCACGCTGCTAGGCTTCCCTACACACCTTCCACAGTACCAGCAGCCAGGGACTCCACGCTGCTAGGCTTCCTACACACCTTCTACAGTACCAGCAATCAGGGGCTCCACGCTGCTAGACTTCCCTACACACCTTCCACAGTCCCAGCAGCCAGGGGCTCCACGTTGCTAGGCTTCCCTACACACCTTCCACAGTACCAGCCATCAGGGGCTCCACGCTGCTAGACTTCCCTACACACCTTCCACAGTCCCAGCAGCCAGGGGCTCCACGCTGCTAGGCTTCCCTGCACCCCTTCCACAGTACCAGCAGCCAGGGTCTCTGCCTGTGTTTAATCCCATGATAATAACATTCCATTTTTCTTGTTTCACTAGGTGTTGGTGGACAGCTGTATCTATTTCCCTCTTTTCTACATTGATAAAGCTTCTGGTAAGCGAAACGTTCCCGTAATGGTTTCCTAACATTACATAAATGTGTTTTTTTTATACACAATAATATTGGTGAAATGTGTCAAGTTCTCTCTAATATAAATATGTACACTGGCTGGTATGACTGAGAGTAAGACTTAACATAGTGTTACCTGTAACTTCTGTTTCCTACATACTACACACAAATCTGATAAATACAGAATGCAGTATAACACACTTGCTATTTGGCAGCACAATGCAAAAGTTTTTTCTGGCAAATCCATTTTAAACTATATATTCTTTTGAGTCACGTTATTAAAGTGAATGAGAATTCTGAAGCTAGATTCCAGCCGTTTACGCAAGATACGTATACAGTTCTAACCGAAATTATTTTACGCACGAAGCTAATAGCTGCTACCTATTTCTGGGGACTTGGGTTGTAGATGAATTTCGTGTATCTTGCCTGGGTGGCATGATAGGTTGATTAAAATCTGCCTCGTCTATATTCGTCACTGTCACGAAGATTTCCTTCAGGAGAATTCTGGGCACAAACTCAGGGAGGCGGCCTTCAAGGTGTTTGGTATGTGAATAAAACACAGAATATGGTTTACGGTATTCGTTGAGCACAGTAAACTAGTCGCCTCGGCGGCAAAGTCTAATCTGATCTTGAGCAGACGTTTCGTCCACCAGGGACGAAACGTTTGGTTGGCATATCCGGCACATCTTCGCGCTCCCTCTTTACTCCCGCATGTTACCTGTTTCTACACCTCTCCCACGCGCTCCCACATCCCTCCACCTTCTTTTCCACACCTACACCACTCATCTCCCTCACTCCCACACTCCTCAATATCATTCTAACACGCCTGACACACCCTGACATTCTTTTCAAAATGCAGCTGCACTTCCTAACACACTGTTGACGCTCCCTTATCACTCAGTAAGTTTGGAAGAACAAAGAAGGTAATGTGAAGAATAAATTCCAAGACCGATTCATTCTCATTTGAAAACAGGCTGTAAATTAAACCTTTATGGAGACAACTTTTCGCTCTGTGTAGAGCTTTATGGAAACTTGATGAAGCTCTACTCAGCGAAGCGTCGTCACAATAAAGTGTGATCTGCAACATCTCTTTTCTTCAGTATTTTCAACAGGACGACATTCGGCACCAGTAATTACTTACGATGTTTACCTCTGGAGACATATTGGGATCTAGGACAGGTGCTATTGGGATCTGGAACAGGTCGTTACTGGGATCTGGAATAAGTGTTATTGGGATCTAGAATAGGTGTTACTGGGATCTGGAACAGGTGTTACTGTGTGATGCAGTTCAGATGGGATTGTGAGGTCTCTACGGAGACCTAATTATATGGTCACACCTGCCTTAGCAAATATCGGGTAGTCACGCCCACGTCTGAGGTCTTTTGTTCTTGACGGCGTCAGACCTCGGCGTCAGGTCGTAACACGTGGTACATACCCCATTGGGGAGGGGGTACTTTGACTACCATATAAGCCCAGGGAACCGCTGAGCAAGGAGGTTGTTGGTGACAGGTCCGGGGAGCGAGAGCTCTGGACAGCCGCGTGTGTAGTGGACCACGCATTGGGAATCTCGGGTCAGCTGCTCGGTGAATTAAAAGTGAGTACTAGTCCGTGTTACTGATAACATCTACCTTTCCCCCTGGTAATAAGTCTCATAGGTCAATTGTTATATTATGTAAATGTCCATCAGTATATGTGGTATTCTAGCCCTTTTATGTTATTAAGTAAACTATAGCCATAGTTCCCATTTTTTTATTTTGTACCTCCATATGCTATTCCCTATTCTGTTAAGCACTGGGATACACAGGAGACGTGCTCACTCGCTGGGATACCTCAGGTAGAGTGGGTAGAGGTCTCCCAACTGGGATCTGGAATAGGTGCTATTGGGATCTGGAACAGGTGTTACTGGGATCTGGAATAGGTGCTATTGGGATCTGGAACGGAGGATATTGGGATATGCAGTGGAATTTGCTTCCCCGTCAGTAGAGAGTTGGAGGTAGTGTGACAGATTTCTCTCCTCACGTCTTGAAATGCCTGTATAACTGTAGGAGTTATGATTCTCAAGGGCCCTGTCCTGTGTCGAGAGACATTGTGCCAAAAGACTGTCATGCACCAAATGTCGCCTGTAAACGTAGGTGGGGCACTTGCGTATTACGAATATCATGACCGAGGATCAGTTAACATTCACCATTCCCAGAAGTCTTGCAACACTGGCCTAAGTTGCACTGCCAGAGTAAGCTGGGCAGGTCATGCTTAAGTGCTCTGAGAAGACGTCCATACATCTAGTTATACCATGATTAAAGTATTATATATATATATATATATATATATATATTATATATATATATATATATATATATATATATATATATACTATTTTATTTTTATTAACACACTGGCCGATTCCCACCAAGGCAGGATGGCCCGAAAAAGAAAAACTTTCACCATTCATCATTCACTCCATCACTGTCTTGCCAGAAGGGTGCTTTACACTACAGTTTTTAAACTGCAACATTAACACCCCTCCTTCAGAGTGCAGGCACTGTACTTCCCATCTCCAGGACTCAAGTCCGGCCTGCCGGTTTCCCTGAACCCCTTCATAAATGTTACTTTGCTCACACTTCAACAGCACGTCTCCATTCACTCCTATCAAACACGCTCACGCATGCCTGTTGGAAGTCCAAGCCCCTCGCACACAAAACTTCCTTTTCCCCCTCCCTCCAACCTTTCCTAGGCCGACCCCTACCCCGCCTTCCTTCCACTACAGACTGATACACTCTTGAAGTCATTCTGTTTCGCTCCATTCTCTCTACATGTCCGAACCACCTCAACACCCCTTCCTCAGCCCTCTGGACAACAGTTTTGGTAATCCCGCACCTCCTCCTAACTTCCAAACTACGAATTCTCTGCATTATATTCACACCACACATTGCCCTCAGACATGACATCTCCACTGCCTCCAGCCTTCTCCTCGCTGCAACATTCATCACCCATGCTTCACACCCATATAAGAGAGTTGGTAAAACTATACTCTCATACATTCCCTGTCAGCATAGTTGCTGATCCCTGTGTTGTATAGCATATTAGTATCATCCATGTATTTATATAGAAGACCCCTTAGGTCTGTGACTGTATGACGTCACGGGATGCAGCTTGAGTGTGAAGCTAGCTACCTCGCTCTCAGTCGGCGTTTGACATAGGCTAGGACAGGCAGAGGCTGGGCTCCATCTCCCATCATCACAGTCTGACAATATATCGTTACCATCCAACAAGTGTGTCTACCTTCAACACTCGATATCTCCTTTTAAGAACCCCTACAATATCCCCTCTTTGCTTCCAAGGACAAAGTTCTTTGTCTCCAGGAATATATATATATATATTATAACATATATATATATATTCTTTTTCTCCCTTTCTCTTTTTCTCTCTCATTCATTCATTGCAGGTTCGGGAGGACCATGTGAGGGGTACAAGTGTGAGTACGGGGGAGTGTGTGTGGAGAGGTACGGCCAGGCTGAGTGTGAGTGTACAGTGTGTGGTGGTGAGTACCAACCAGTGTGTGGCGGTGACAGACGCACCTACCACTCCTCCTGTCAACTGGCCCGTCACGTCTGTCTGTCTACCACTCACGTGGAACTCTTACACCAGGGATCCTGTGGTCAGTACTCTCAGAATTTTTTTTTTAAAAAAGGTACCATTGTTATGTTTTGAATTCATCTTTTTACTCCTATACACTCAAAATTTGTATATCTAAATGTCTAAAGTGAGATGTGTACCTCTTAATGTATACATACACAAGTTTGTATTTGTTCTATATAAAAAGAACAGAGTATATATAGGTATTAAATATATATATATATATATATATATATATATATATATATATATATTATATATTATATATATATATATATATATATATATATATATATATATTTATTATTTTATATATATATATATCATTATATATTATTATATATTAATAATTACTATTATTCTCCTATTTCTATTATTCCTTCTCATTCATTCATTACCTTTTTATTATTAAACATTACTATTATTGCATTACTATTACTATTATTACATTACCATTATTACTAGTATTACTATTAACAATTATCATGATTACTATTACTCTTATTACATTACTATTAATGCTATTTTATTACTATTATTGATCCTATCACTATTACGTTAGTTATTTTTGTTATTGTTATTACTTTCACTATTGTGTCGTGCCACAGATGCGTGTAAGGGGGTCGAGTGCGGAGAGTTCGGGGTGTGTCAGGTCGATGCTGAGGGATTCGGTCGATGTTCCTGCCCTACCAACTGCTCCCAGGTAAGTCAAATTGTTATTTATTATTACACGGAGCGCTGAACCCGTAGGGGGTCAAGCAGCGCTTGAGAAATGGAAGGTATTGAGGTTTAATTCAAGGAACTGGAACACAGGTCCAACTCCTTGATTCTAGAGCCCATCACTAGCATCCACCTGACCTAAGCCTAATACGAACGTTTCTCTCATGGAGAGCCTGTTGTAGTTTCGCTTGAGGGAAACGTTTCTGCATCTCTCTTCATGCGCTCTGGGTAAGATCAAATATTTTATTTATCCCTAGCGACAACTTTTCGATCTGTTACTATCTTTATCAAGTCAGCATTTCCCAAAGGTCGAAACAGTTCGAAACGTTGTGTCTTCTGCAAAGTATTTAATACTGTTGTAAAGGCATTTAAATTATGTGATTAAGCAAACCATACCACGGGCGGGGATAGAACCCGCGGTCAGAGAGTCTCAAAACTCCAGACCGTCGCGTTAGCCACTGGGTCTGGAGTTTTGAGACTCTGATCGCGGGTTCTATCCCCGCCCGTGGTATGGTTTGTTTGCAATCGTGTCATTACGATTTCGTGAGTCAAATTATGTGATTGTTGTGGGTGGCACCCTGGGGGAGGGTTCATTATGCGAGTACCACCGTCGTAGTAGTACATTACCTGGGTGGCGCCCTGGGGATGGTAGATTATCTGGGTAGCCTAGTGGAGGTGGTAGATTATCTGGGTGGCATTCTGGGGGAGGGTACATGATGCGAGTAGCACCCTGAGAGTGGTAGATTATCTGGGTAGCACCCTGGGATGGTAGTTAATATGGGTGGCATAGTGGAGGTGGTAGGTTATCTGGGTGACATCTTGGGCGTTGTAGGTTATCTGGGTGACATCTTGGGCGTTGTAGGTTATCTGGGTGACATCCTGGAGGTGGTAGGTTATCTGGGTGACATCTTGGGCGTTGTAGGTTATCTGGGTGACATCCTGGAGGTGGTAGGTTATCTGGGTGACATCTTGGGCGTTGTAGGTTATCTGGGTGACATCTTGGGCGTTGTAGGTTATCTGGGTGACATCCTGGAGGTGGTAGGTTATCTGGGTGACATCTTGGGCGTTGTAGGTTATCTGGGTGACATCCTGGAGGTGGTAAGTTATCTGGGTGACATCCTGGGGGTGGTAGGTTATCTGGGTGACATCATGGGGGTGGTAGGTTATCTGGGTGACATCTTGGGCGTTGTAGGTTATCTGGGTGACATCCTGGAGGTGGTAGGTTATCTGGGTGACATCATGGGGGTGGTAGGTTATCTGGGTGACATCCTGGGGTGGTAGTTATCTGGGTGACATCCTGGAGGTGGTAGGTTATCTGGGTGACATCCGGGGGGTGGTAGGTTATCTGGGTGACATCCTGGGGGTGGTGGTTATCTGGGTGACATCCTGGGGGTGGTAGGTTATCTGGGTGACATCCTGGGGGTGGTAAGTTATCTGGGTGACATCCTGGGGTGGTAGGTTATCTGGGTGACATCCTGGGGGTGGTAGGTTATCTGGGTGGCATCCTGGGGTGGTAGGTTATCTGGGTGGCATCCTGGGTGGTAGGTTATCTGGGGGGTGGCATCCTGGGGTGGTAGGTTATCTGGGTGGCATCCTGGGGTGGTAGGTTATCTGGGTGACATCCTGGGGGTGGTAGGTTATCTGGGTGGCATCCTGGGGGTGGTAGGTTATCTGGATGACATCCTGGGGGTGGTAGGTTATCTGGGTGGCATCCTGGGGTGGTAGGTTATCTGGGTGGCATCCTGGGGTGGTAGGTTATCTGGGTGGCATCCTGGGGTGGTAGGTTATCTGGGGGGACATCCTGGGGGTGGTAGGTTATCTGGGTGGCATCCTGTGGGTGGTAGGTTATCTGGGTGGCATCCTGGGGTGGTAGGTTATCTGGGTGGCATCCTGGGGTGGTAGGTTATCTGGGTGACATCCTGGGGGTGGTAGGTTATCTGGGTGGCATCCTGGGGTGGTAGGTTATCTGGATGACATCCTGGGGGTGGTAGGTTATCTGGGTGGCATCCTGGGGGTGGTAGGTTATCTGGGTGGCATCCTGGGGGTGGTAGGTTATCTGGGTGGCATCCTGGGGTGGTAGGTTATCTGGGTGACATCCTGGGGTGGTAGGTTATCTGGGTGACATCCTGGGGGTGGTAGGTTATCTGGGTGACATCCTGGGGGTGGTAGGTTATCTGGGTGACATCCTGGGGTGGTAGGTTATCTGGGTGACATCCTGGGGGTGGTAGGTTATCTGGGGGGGCATCCTGGGGTGGTAGGTTATCTGGGTGGCATCCTGGGGTGGTAGGTTATCTGGGTGGCATCCTGGGGTGGTAGGTTATCTGGGTGGCATCCTGGGGTGGTAGGTTATCTGGGTGACATCCTGGGGGTGGTAGGTTATCTGGGTGGCATACTGGGGGTGTAGGTTATCTGGATGACATCCTGGGGTGGTAGGTTATCTGGGTGGCATCCTGGGGTGGTAGGTTATCTGGGTGGCATCCTGGGGTGGTAGGTTATCTGGGTGGCATCCTGGGGTGGTAGGTTATCTGGGTGACATCCTGGGGGTGGTAGGTTATCTGGGTGGCATCCTGTGGGTGGTAGGTTATCTGGATGACATCCTGGGGGTGGTAGGTTATCTGGGTGGCATCCTGGGGTGGTAGGTTATCTGGGTGGCATCCTGGGGTGGTAGGTTATCTGGGTGACATCCTGGGGTGGTAGGTTATCTGGGTGGCATCCTGGGGGTGGTAGGTTATCTGGATGACATCCTGGGGGTGGTAGGTTATCTGGGTGGCATCCTGGGGTGGTAGGTTATCTGGGTGGCATCCTGGGGTGGTAGGTTATCTGGGTGGCATCCTGGGGGTGGTAGGTTTTATCTGGGTGGCATCCTGGGGGTGGTAGGTTATCTGGGTGACATCCTGGGGTGGTAGGTTATCTGGGTGGCATCCTGGGGGTGGTAGGTTATCTGGGTGGCATCCTGGGGTGGTAGGTTATCTGGGTGACATCCTGGGAGTGGTAGGTTATCTGGGTGGCATCCTGGGGGTGGTAGGTTATCTGGGTGGCATCCGGGGGGTGGTAGGTTATCTGGGTGGCATCCGGGGGGTGGTGGGTTATCTGGGTGACATCCTGGGGGTGGTAGGTTATCTGGGTGGCATCCTGGGGGTGGTAGGTTATCTGGATGACATCCTGGGGGTGGTAGGTTATCTGGGTGGCATCCTGGGGTGGTAGGTTATCTGGGTGGCATCCTGGGGGTGGTAGGTTATCTGGATGACATCCTGGGGGTGGTAGGTTATCTGGGTGACATCCTGGGGTGGTAGGTTATCTGGGGGGACATCCTGGGGGTGGTAGGTTATCTGGGGGGCATCCTGGGGGTGGTAGGTTATCTGGGTGGCATCCTGGGGGTGGTAGGTTATCTGGATGACATCCTGGGGGTGGTAGGTTATCTGGATGACATCCTGGGGGTGGTAGGTTATCTGGGTGACATCCTGGGGGTGGTAGGTTATCTGGGTGACATCCTGGGGGTGGTAGGTTATCTGGGTGGCATCCTGGGGGTGGTAGGTTATCTGGGTGGTATCCTGGGGGTGGTAGGTTATCTGGATGACATCCTGGGGGGTGGTAGGTTATCTGGGTGGCATCCTGGGGTGGTAGGTTATCTGGGTGACATCCTGGGGTGGTAGGTTTATCTGGGTGACATCCTGGGGGTGGTAGGTTATCTGGGTGGCATCCTGGGGGTGGTAGGTTATCTGGGTGGTATCCTGGGGGTGGTAGGTTACCTTAACCAGGGGATGAGTTTTGCGATGACATAAGGGAGGATAACATCTCTCAACATGTAAATAAGTTAGAGAAAAAGAAATTTGGTAAAAAAAAATGGATAAGAAAAAGCGAAGCACCATCTAGCCCGGGATTATCAATTCGCGCCTTGATAATGGCCCGACACGCACAGAAACAGCGTCCAACTTTTATTTCCGAATGGGTAGTTCAGTATTTAATATATTTAATAAATATTTCATATATATTTTGTTACATATATACATGTATATATATATATATTATATATATATATATTATATATATATATATATATATATATATATATATATTATATATATAATATGTCGTGCCGATTATGTATAACTGGTCAATTACTAAGAACTCATTTAAAATTAAGTCCTTTCTAAAATTTTCTCTTATGTTTAAAGATATATTTTTTTCATTATTGTTAATGGGAAAAAATTTTTAATTTGCACCAAAAGTATCTTAGAAAATTACCTAACCTTATTATAACAAGAGCAATTTATTTTAACCTAACCCAACTAAATATATTTTAAATACATTTACAATATTAGTACTAAAACACCAACAATCAAATATATTTTTTTCGTTAGGTTCAGAAAAGATTTTGGCGAAATTATTGCATAACAAATTTTCACTTGTCCTATATGGCAAGATGAGCGTTGCTATTTAAGCCAAGATCGCAAGTTCTGCCTATTCGGCACGACACACACACACACACACACACAAACACACACACACACACACACAACACTACACACACACACACACACATACACACACACAACACACACACACACAATAATATGATATATATATATAATATATATATATATATATATATATATATATATATATATATATATTTATGTATGTATTATATATAAATATATATTATATATTATATATATATAATTTATATATATATATATATATATATATAAATTATATTAATATTATATATATATATATCAACAGCAGTTGACATCTTCAATGGTCAAGCAGTGTAATTAGCTAAGATAGGATCAGACATTCACTACTCTGAGTTGAATGACTCTCATGGAATTTAGTCTAGTCTAATTAAATACAATTTTTTCTCCTGCAGGCACTGGGCGGGGAGGTGTGTGGCACTGACGGTCAGACGTATGCTTCTAAGTGCCATCTTCAGGTCGCTGCCTGTGCCAGCCAGCAGCGCCTCATAGTTGCGCACAAGGGAAACTGCGGTCAGTGTTGGTGGTGGGTTGTGATAGCTGGTGCTAGGTGGTGATAGCTGGGGCTGGGTGGGGATAGCTGGTGCTAGGTGGTGATAGCTGGGGCTGGGTGGGGATAGCAGGTGGTGGGTGGTGACAGCAGGTGGTGGGTGGTGATAGCAGGGGGTGGCTGGTGATAGGCGGTGGTGGTGATACCAGGTGGTGGGTGGTGATACCAGATGGTTGGCGGTGATAGCAGGTGGTGCCTTACGAAGCCATCGTGTGATGGAGTATGGCAGTCGAAATATAACTAGCTTATGTTTTCACAGTGTAACTATCATACAGAATACTGTTGTCAGCCAGTGAATATTCAGACACCCTGGCACCCTGGGTACCACTAGTAACACATGTGGCGTCCGTGGTTTTCAGATCTGTGTTTGGATGTCCACTGTAAGTACGGCGCTCGCTGTGAGGGCGGCCGGTGCATCTGTCCCACAGACTGCCCAGACAAGAGAGAACCAGTGTGTGGGTCTGACCGCTTCACTTATAGTAACGAGTGTGTCATGCGCAAGGTAATGAACTCAACACTGTTGATATAGTGGGATTTATCATTGCGTTAATGGGAGGGAAGGATTTAGACACAGCTGGATTAACTTACGCATGCCAGGATTCCTTTCTTTCCAGGTAGCTCGTTAGCGTGTAAACCCTGAACAGTGACGTGTTTGTATTTACCTTACATTTCTTTGTGTGTATGTGTGTGTGTGTTTGTATATTGCCTAGTCATGTATTTTCACAAAAAATTACGTGTTTTGATGGTGAGATGGGTATTAATGTTGAAGGTTGACTGGATAGATACTATCGAGTGACGTAACCTAACATGGTGACATCAGTATTGTTGTGGTTATGAATTAATGTAGCAGCATCACATGAGAGTTGATAAGTCTACAATACTGACAATATGAGCAACTAGACAAATGTGCAACACCTGCTTGGCGAAGATTCAGCTAAGGATACCCAGATGTTGCACAGGTGTGTGGTGTAACACCTCACCAGTGTCTGGTGTAATGTTAATAATATTAGCCAGTGTAGCAACACTCTGTGGATTCCCTCAACAGGTGGCCTGTGAGAAGAACGAAGACGTCAACTATCTCTTCTTTGGGGAATGTGATGAGATCGGTGGCATAGTTACAGGTAAGACAATGTTACGCCCTTGTTACAAGTAAGACAATGTTACGCCCTTGTTACAGGTAAGACAATGTTATGCCCTAGTTTCAGGCAAGACAAGGTTACACCCTAGTTACAGGTAAGACAATGTTATGCCCTAGTTACAGGTAAGACAATGTTATGCCCCAGTTACAGGTAAGACAATGTTACGCCCTAGTTGCAGGTAAGACAATGTTACACCCTAATTACAGGTAAGACAATGTTATGCCCTAGTTACAGGTAAGACAATGTTATGCCCCAGTTACAGGTAAGACAATGTTACGCCCTAGTTGCAGGTAAGACAATGTTACACCCTAGTTATAGGTAAGACAATGTTATGCCCTAGTTACAGGCAAGACAAGGTTACACCCTAGTTACAGGCAAGACAAGGTTACACCCTAGTTACAGGTAAGACAAGGTTACACCCTAGTTACAGGTAAGACAATGTTACACCCTAGTTACAGGTAAGACAATGTTACGCCCTAGTTACAGGCAAGACAAGGTTACACCCTAGTTACAGGTAAGACAATGTTACGCCCTAGTTGCAGGTAAGACAAGGTTACGCCCTAGTTACAGGTAAGACAACGATACACGTAAAACAGTCATAGGTTTTCTTGAGACAAGCTTTTCTCTTAGTTTTTGTTAAACTCGAAGATTTATATTTTCTTCAGCTATTCATTACGCTATTACCTGTTTCCTGTAATGAAAAATTTATGTGGTTTTTATGTTCGTACACACTCACCTGGGTGTGTTACACACTCACCTGGGTGTGTTATACACTCACCTGGGTGTGTTACACACTCACCTGGGTGTGTTACACACTCACCTGGGTGTGTTACACACTCACCTGGGTGTGTTACACACTCACCTGGGTGTGTTACACACTCACCTGGTGTGTTACACACTCACCTGGGTGTTACACACTCACCTGGGTGTTTTAAACCCCACTCACCTGGGTGTGTTATCACCTGGGTGTGTTACAACACTCACCTGGTGTGTTACACACTCACCTGGGTGTGTTACACACTCACCTGGGTGCGTTACACACTCACCTGGGTGTGTTACACACTCCCCTGGGTTGTTACACACTCACCTGGGTGTGTTTACACACTCACCTGGGTGTGTTACACACTCACCTGGGTGTTACACACTCACCTGGGTGTGTTACACACTCACCTGGGTGTGTTACACACCCCAACTGGGTGTGTTACACACTCACCTGGGTGTGTTACACACTCACCTGGGTGTGTTACACACTCACCTGGGTGTGTTACACACTAAACCTGGGTGTGTTACACACTCACCTGGGTGTGTTACACACTCACCTGGGTGTGTTACACAATCACCTGGGTGTGTTACACACTCACCTGGGTGTGTTACACACTCACCTGGGTGTGTTACACACTCACCTGGGTGTGTTACACACTCACCTGGGTGTGTTACACACTCACCTGGGTGTGTTACACACTCACCTGGGTGTGTTACACACTCACCTGGGTGTGTTACACACTCACCTGGGTGTGTTACACACTCACCTGGGTGTGTTACACACTCACCTGGGTGTGTTACACACCCCACCTGGGTGTGTTACACATCACCTGGGTGTGTTACACACTCACCTGGGTGTGTTACACACTCACCTGGGTGTGTTACACTCTCACCTGGGTGTGTTTACCTCTCACCTGGGTGTGTTACACTCACCTGGGTGTGTTACACACTCACCTGGGTGTGTTACTCACCTGGGTGTGTTACACACTCACCTGGGTGTGTTACTCTCACCTGGGTGTGTTACACACTCACCTGGGTGTGTTACACACTCACCTGGGTGTGTTACACTCTCCCCTGGGTTACTCACTGGGTGTGTTACTCACCTGGGTGTGTTACACACTCACCTGGGTGTTTACAACTCACCTGGGTGTGTTACACACTCACCTGGGTGTGTTACACACTCACCTGGGTGTGTTACACCTACTGGGTGTGTTACACTCTCACCTGGGTGTTACTCACCTGGGTGTGTTACACACTCACCTGGGTGTGTTACACACTCACCTGGGTGTGTTACACTCTCACCTGGGTGTTACTCACCTGGGTGTGTTACACACTCACCTGGGTGTGTTACACACTCACCTGGGTGTGTTACACACTCACCTGGGTGTGTTACACACTCACCTGGGTGTGTTACACACTCACCTGGGTGTGTTACACACTCACCTGGGTGTGTTACACACTCACCTGGGTGTGTTACACACTCACCTGGGTGTGTTACACACTCACCTGGGTGTGTTACACTCTCACCTGGGTGTGTTACACACTCACCTGGGTGTGTTACACACTCACCTGGGTGTGTTACACACTCACCTGGGTGTGTTACACTCACCTGGGTGTGTTACACACTCACCTGGGTGTGTTACACACTCACCTGGGTGTGTTACACACTCACCTGGGTGTGTTACACACTCACCTGGGTGTGTTACACTCTCACCTGGGTGTGTTACACTCTCACCTGGGTGTGTTACACTCTCACCTGGGTGTGTTACACACTCACCTGGGTGTGTTACTCACCTGGGTGTGTTACACACTCACCTGGGTGTGTTACACACTCACCTGGGTGTGTTACACACTCACCTGGGTGTGTTACACACTCACCTGGGTGTGTTACACACTCACCTGGGTGTGTTACACACTCACCTGGGTGTGTTACACACTCACCTGGGTGTGTTACACTCTCACTGGGTGTTACTCACCTGGGTGTGTTACACTCTCACCTGGGTGTGTTACACACTCACCTGGGTGTGTTAAACACTCACCTGGGTGTGTTACACACTCACCTGGGTGTGTTACACACTCACCTGGGTGTGTTACACACTCACCTGGGTGTGTTACACTCTCACCTGGGTGTTACTCACCTGGGTGTGTTACACACTCACCTGGGTGTGTTACACACTCACCTGGGTGTGTTACACACTCACCTGGGTGTGTTACACACTCACCTGGGTGTTACACACTCACCTGGGTGTGTTACACACTCACCTGGGTGTGTTACACACTCACCTGGACGTATTGTTCTCCCTACAGACGTGATCTACCCAACACCCCTGCCACCTACTGGCCCTGACGACCCCTGCCACTCTCACCCCTGCATCGCTGGGGCAGAGTGCCAGTCAGACGCTGAAGGTCGACCTCGATGTGTGTGCGACTTCTACTGCTCTCCGCCTCCACGCTATGAGCCAGTCTGCGGTAGTGACAAGGAGTTTTACGAGTCAGATTGTCTCATGCGACTGCATGCTTGCAACATTCAAGTGCAACTCACCGTCAGACCCATTCATGAGTGTGCTGGTGAGTATAATAATTATAGTAGCAGCAGTAGTAATAATAATAACTAAACATTTCCTGGTTACAGAGTATTTTGGTCAGCAAAGTGACTCTCGCCTTTGATTTGCTTGTAAATATATATTTTTTACGCCAGAAATGTTTGTCAATCCTATATCCATTTGGTTAAGTTTATCTAAAATCTCTGTAAGGAATATCACATCTATCCCACACACGAAAAGCTCTATTCTCTTCAGCCTCAGGTCAGAGTTCATTATTGTCTGATTAACCACACTGTTGCAGCTTGCAGACCTGCATAACCACCAGAGAGAGTTGTTTTCGACCCCCTTCTGAACCATTGTTAAGTCGTGAGTGGGAAATGGATAGATAGTGATAGATGAAGGAATTGGGAAACTCTCCATTTTTTAAATACACTTCTGACTAGATCTGACATTCAACTCTTTAAAAGTTTTAACCTGACCTACTGACCTTATCCCGCTCACTCGTGACTTATTAGTGGTTCAGGATGGAGAGAAAGGTCATCCAAGTTTCAATGTCACTTTTGTGGGTTGTGAGTTGTTGCAGCTATGGTATTGTGGGTTGTGAATTGTTGCAGTGATGATACTATGGGTTGTATATTGTTGCAGTGATGGTATTGTGGGTAAGTTGTAAATTGTTGCAGCCACGGTACTGTGGGTAAGTTGTAAATTGTTGCAGCCATGGTACTGTGGGTAAGTTGTAAATTGTTGCAGCCACGGTACTGTGGGTAAGATGTAAATTGTGATGAATGGTTTGAAAAACCGACAAGTTGAAGATTGAGACACTTGTGCAGCATATGGGAATCTTTATTCAGGAAACGTTTCGCCACACAGTGGCTTCATCAGCCCAATACAAAGAGGAAGGCGTAAGGAGAGGAGGAGTATGAGGTAATCAGTCCCTCAGCCTGGAGTCGATGTGTTCAGTCCATCAATCTTGTAGAATGTACAGCATAGGGCCGTAGACGTGGCTTGTATACTGTAGTGAGGTGAGGTGAAGCAGGCGGAGGCGGGGTCATAGTGGTACCATCCACTAGTCGAAGTAGGTCTTCGTCCAAAGGTTGAACAAGTGCTGAAGAATTCTTTGTAACAAGATCCCATGATGCTGCAGTGTCTGACAGTTGTGATGAATGGTTTGAAAAACCGACCACTATGACCTCCGTCTGCTTCACCTCACCTCACTACAGTATATAAGCCACGTCTACGGCCCTACGCTGTCCATTCTACAAGATTGATGGACTGAACACATCGACTCCAGGCTGAGGGACTGATTACCTCATACTCCTCCTCTCCTTACGCCTTCCTCTTTGTATTGGGCTCATGAAGCCACTGTGTGGCGAAACGTTTCCTGAATAAAGATTCCCATATGCTGCATAAGTGTCTCAATCTTCAAGATGTAAATTGTTGCAGTCACGGTACTGTGGGTAAGTTGTGAATTGTTACAGCCACGATACTATATTTTCTTAATCTGGAAAAATGGTTTTGTGATAAAAACTGCATCTTTCTCGTGTCTCCACCACACAGCTGCCCAGCGCCTTCGAGTATGCAACGGCACATCACCCCTGATCAACCCTTCGACAGGTGAAGATCTGTACTGTGGCGAGGGTGGCACTATATGCCCTCCTGGCACTTATTGCCACAGGGAACACGACTTCGCGAAGTGCTGTAGGGACTACACCATCAGAGTAGCTGGTAAGTGATCTTCTTTTACCTGATGTATTCTGATTGACCTGATGCAGTCTGGTCTCTCACGTATTCGTGGCTTCACTTCTCTTGCTTTGAGTTATATTGATCGATTTCTCATCATCCCTCTACCTAGCAGTGATCTATCTCTACTCCGCCAGTGATTTTGTTCTAACTTTTCTCTGGCAGTGATCGAGGCACCGGTGCCAAGGGACTGCCATCAGACAGACTGGGGATGCTGTGCTGACGGCATCAACATCGCTACTGGCCCGGAGAGGGAAGGATGTCCGGAGTCATGTCGCTGCCACAGACTGGGTGAGTCACAGACTGGGTGAGTCAGACTGGGTGATTCACAGACTGGGTGATTCACAGACTGGGTGATTCACAGACTGGGTGACTCACAGACTGGGTGAGTCACAGACTGGGTGAGTCACAGACTGGGTGAGTCACAGACTGGGTGAGTCACAGACTGGGCGAGTCACAGGCTGAACAAGCCACAGACTGGGTGAGCCACAGACTGGGTGAATCACAGACTGAGCAAGCCACAGACTGGGTGAGTCACAGACTGAGCAAGCCACAGACTGGGTGAGTCACAGACTAAGCAAGCCACAGACTGGGTGAGTCACAGACTAAGCAAGCCACAGACTGGGTGAGTCACAGACTGAGCAAGCCACAGACTGGGTGAGTCACAGACTGAGCAAGCCACAGACTGGGTGAGTCACAGACTGAACAAGCCACAGACTGGGTGGTGAGTTACACACAGACTGAGAGCCACAGACTGACTGTGGGAATCACAGTGTTGCTAAGAATAAGTCAGAGTGTGTACTCACCTATTTGTGTGTGTTCCGTGAGTGTTCTTTACTCTGTTTTAGTGCTTATTACTGTATGGCTCTTGTGGGTTTACCGTTTAGTTTTGATTGTAATAACAGTGTTCATTAGACAAGTGGTGGGTGTTGCTAGATCCAGAGTGGACGATATTAGACAAGCGGTGGGTGTTGCTAGATCCAGAGTGGACGATATTAGACAAGTGGTGGGTGTTGCTAGATCCAGAGTGGACGATATTAGACAAGTGGTGGGTGTTGCTAGATCCAGAGTGGACGATATTAGACAAGTGTTGGGTGTTACTAGATCCAGAGTGGACGATATTAGACAAGCGGTGGGTGTTGCTAGATCCAGAGTGGACGATATTAGACAAGCGGTCGGTGTTGCTTGATCCAGAGTGGACGATATTAGACATGCGGTGGGTGTTGCTAGATCCAGAGTGGACGATATTAGACAAGCGGTGGGTGTTGCTAGATCCAGAGTGGACGATATTAGACAAGCGGTGGGTGTTGCTAGATCCAGAGTGGACGATATTAGACAAGTGGGGTGTTGCTGATCCAGAGTGGACGATATTAGACAAGCGGTGGGTGTTGCTTGATCCAGAGTGGACGATATTAGACAAGCGGTGGGTGTTGCTTGATCCAGAGTGGACGATATTAGACAAGCGGTGAGTGTTGCTAGATCCAGAGTGGACGATATTAGACAAGCGGTGGGTGTTGCTAGATCCAGAGTGGACGATATTAGACAAGTGGTGGGTGTTGCTAGATCCAGAGTGGACGATATTAGACAAGCGGTGAGTGTTGCTAGATCCAGAGTGGACGATATTAGACAAGTGGTGGGTGTTGCTAGATCCAGAGTGGACGATATTAGACAAGCGGTGAGTGTTGCTAGATCCAGAGTGGACGATATTAGACAAGGCGGTGTGTTGCTAGATCCAGAGTGGACGATATTAGACAAGTGGTGGTGTTGCTAGATCCAGAGTGGACGATATTAGACAAGTGGTGGGTGTTGCTAGATCCAGAGTGGACGATATTAGACAAGTGGTGGGTGTTGCTAGATCCAGAGTGGACGATATTAGACAAGTGGTGGGTGTTGCTAGATCCAGAGTGGACGATATTAGACAAGTGGTGGGTGTGGCTAGATCCAGAGTGGACGATATTAGACAAGGGTGGTGTTGCTAGATCCAGAGCTGGACGATATTAGACAAGTGGTGGGTGTTGCTAGATCCAGAGTGGACGATATTAGACAAGCGGTGGGTGTTGCTAGATCCAGAGTGGACGATATTAGACAGCGGTGGGTGTTGCTATATCCAGAGTGGACGATATTAGACAAGCGGTGGGTGTTGCTAGATCCAGAGTGGACGATATTAGACAAGGGTGGGTGTTGCTTGATCCAGAGTGGACGATATTAGACAAGCGTGGGTGTTGCTGATCCAGAGTGGACGATATTAGACAAGCGGTGAGTGTTGCTAATCCAGAGTGGACGATATTAGACAAGCGGTGGGTGTTGCTAGATCCAGAGTGGACGATATTAGACAAAGTGGTGTGTTGCTTGATCCAGAGTGGACGATATTAGACAAGCGGTGGGTGTTGCTTGATCCAGAGTGGACGATATTAGACAATGGTGGGTGTTGCTTGATCCAGAGTGGACGATATTAGACAAGCGTGGTGTGTTGCTTGATCCAGAGTGGACGATATTAGACAAGTGGTGGGTGTTGCTAGATCCAGAGTGGACGATATTAGACAAGCGTGGGTGTTGCTTGATCCAGAGTGGACGATATTAGACAAGGGTGGGTGTTGCTAGATCCAGAGTGGACGATATTAGACAAGTGGTGGGTGTTGCTTGATCCAGAGTGGACGATATTAGACAAGCGGTGGGTGTTGCTTGATCCAGAGTGGACGATATTAGACAAGTGGTGGGTGTTGCTTGATCCAGAGTGGACGATATTAGACAAGCGGTGGGTGTTGCTTGATCCAGAGTGGACGATATTAGACAAGTGGTGGGTGTTGCTAGATCCAGAGGGACGATATTAGACAAGGGTGGGTGTTGCTAGATCCAGAGTGGACGATATTAGACAAGTGGTGGGTGTTGCTTGATCCAGAGTGGACGATATTAGACAAGGGTGGTGTTGCTAGATCCAGAGTGGACGATATTAGACAAGTGGTGGGTGTTGCTAGATCCAGAGTGGACGATATTAGACAAGCGGTGGGTGTTGCTAGATCCAGAGTGGACGATTATTAGACAAGGGTGGGTGTTGCTAGATCCAGAGTGGACGATATTAGACAAGTGGTGGGTGTTGCTAGATCCAGAGTGGACGATATTAGACAAGTGGTGGGTGTTGCTAGATCCAGAGTGGACGATATTAGACAAGTGGTGGGTGTTGCTTGATCCAGAGTGGACGATATTAGACAAGTGGTGGGTGTTGCTAGATCCAGAGCGGACGATATTAGACAAGTGGTGGGTGTTGCTAGATCCAGAGTGGACGATATTAGACAAGTGGTGGGTGTTGCTTGATCCAGAGTGGACGATATTAGACAAGTGGTGGGTGTTGCTAGATCCAGAGCGGACGATATTAGACAAGTGGTGGGTGTTGCTAGATCCAGAGTGGACGATATTAGACAAGTGGTGGGTGTTGCTTGATCCAGAGTGGACGATATTAGACAAGTGGTGGGTGTTGCTAGATCCAGAGCGGACGATATTAGACAAGTGGTGGGTGTTGCTAGATCCAGAGTGGACGATATTAGACAAGTGGTAGGTGTTGCTAGATCCAGAGTGGACGATATTAGACAAGTGGTGGGTGTTGCTAGATCCAGAGTGGACGATATTAGACAAGTGGTGGGTGTTGCTAGATCCAGAGCGGACGATATTAGACAAGCGGTGGGTGTTGCTAGATCCAGAGCGGACGATATTAGACAAGTGGTGGGTGTTGCTAGATCCAGAGTGGACGATATTAGACAAGTGGTGGGTGTTGCTAGATCCAGAGTGGACGATATTAGACAAGTGGTGGGTGTTGCTAGATCCAGAGTGGACGATATTAACAAGTGGTGGGTGTTGCTAGATCCAGAGTGGACGATATTAGACAAGTGGTGGGTGTTGCTAGATCCAGAGTGGACGATATTAGACAAGCTGGTGGGTGTTGCTAGATCCAGAGTGGACGATATTAGACAAGCGGTGGGTGTTGCTAGATCCAGAGTGGACGATATTAGACAAGTGGTGGGTGTTGCTAGATCCAGAGTGGACGATATTAGACAAGTGGTGGGTGTTGCTAGATCCAGAGTGGACGATATTAGACAAGCGGTGGGTGTTGCTAGATCCAGAGTGGACGATATTAGACAAGCGGTGGGTGTTGCTAGATCCAGAGTGGACGATATTCGTGTCTTCAGAGTAAAACATTTTCTTAATATGTGTATTCTTAACATTTCTCAAAAGTCATGTGACCTTAATGAGAGATTTTCAAGTATCTGGTCTTCTTAGTTGATATATGTTTTGCATGTGCGTCTTTAAAGAATACTAGTTGTGTGTGTGGTGGATTGGAGATCTGAAGAAGACTGGTCACGAGTCGAAACTCTGGAAAGTGATCTTTATCCGAGGATTTGGAGCTACATTTCTTTTGGATCAAACTTTCATTATCTTCCATATCCCAAGTGAAGCATGACCCCTCTCCCCCCCCCTACGGGCTTAGCGCTGTCCCGTGAGTGTATTAATAATGATCAGAAATAAGGATTTAAGACTTTCGACGCCGTGGATTATTATTATTATAATCAAGGGGGAAGCGCTAAACCCGGAGGGTTATACAGCGCCTGGGGGGGGGGGATGTGGAAGGCATTCAGGCTTAATTCGGGGAACTGGAGCACAAATCCAATTCCCTAAATCAAGAGCCCCTCACCAACATCAAGGAACCTTCCTTGAGGGGTCGACGCCGTGGAAATTTTGCTAAAAGTAAATTTTATAAGAATCAAGAAATTAAAGTTGGTTGAAGTAACTGTCAATTTTTTTTTTTTTTAACCAGAAAAAATAACTTTGAGAAGTTTGAGTTTGTTGGAGACTTCTCGTCAACTTGGTTTTTTTTTTTTTTCTCCAATTTTCAACTTAAAAATTCCCGCCTTTAATACATTATTGCCACAAAATGTCAACTTAAAACGAGGCTAAGTCAAATATTCTCTTAGACAGTGATTGTTGGTGGCGGTATGAGCCAGGGGATTGTTGTTGGCGTGGTTCGTGCGTCGGTCTGCGTGCGGCCAGCAGTAACAGCCTGGTTGATTACGTCCTCTCATGGACGGGGCCACGGGGATACCCTCCAGGTATACTCCAAATGTTTATTCTCTTAGTGATCGCTGACGGTGGTATGCTCCAGGAGATGTTGCTGGTGTTTCTTAGTCACGAAAGTGTAAAGTGTCTCCTGACGCTGGTGTTTGTCACATGATGACCCCAGAGTGCTGAGACAACCTTTGATGTACCGTTGCTGAGTATCAGTGTCACGTGATGACCCGCAGAGTACTGAGACAACCTTTGATGTACCGTTGCTGAGTATCAGTTATTGAGAGACGACTGATCAGGCGCCTCGAGAAATTACTTTTTCTTTACTACAGACCCCATTGTTCCTACCAACGGACGTTTGGTTAAGAGGCGCCTGAGTTTCCCCTGTCTCCTAATATCATGTTTATTTTTCCACTATAATCTACCTCCTCATAATTATATCGCATTTGCTTTATCTGCTTTCGTAAGGCAAGTCCAGGATCTTTCCTTAATTCATTGTGTAACTTCACACAATTATCCTCAAAGATTTAAGTTATACCATAAATTAAGATCCTGGACGTCACCTTACGAAAGCAGACAAAGCAAATGCGATAGTAATTATGGACTAGGTAGATTTTAGGAGGGAAATAAGATAGAAGTCAGGGAACTGACATGCCCCTTAATAAACGTCTAGCATAACAGTAAGAAATCTCAAATTCCTTCTATCAACAGTCTAGTTATCAACAAGGTCGTTCTGCTGTTAATCACTTGATCCGCCTGGATACATTCGTCTGCAAAGCCTCGTTAATAACCAGTCACTTATTTCACTCTTTTTCAATAGAGAGAAAGTCTGATTACCTGATATAACCTGGTTCAAAGTTCTTTATATAGGCCTCCCAGGGAACTTGCCACTCTTCCTTAAAAATTTCTTCTTAGAGATATTCTCGTGTTTGAGTAAACAATTATTTATCCCCTTAGTACCACACAATTCTTACTCACCATTAATGAATTCTTCTCTGTTCTTCGCGCAAGTATTTGATTATTTATATTTGTACAAGATTTTACCATGGTTTGTGCTGGCTGTCAAGATGTTTGCGATGCGTCTCTAACTTGCTATTGATCGCGTTTTCAACTGGGCCGCCTCACACGGGTGTCCAGGCTTTCCTCTGCTAAAAAGAAACCCGATAACTTTCACAAGACACCATATTATCCCACATCCCGTTCTTTAACCGCATTGTTACCCATATACTTGAGTGGGATTGTCAAATTTTCCTGCCTTCTCTTTGATCATCGAGTGTCACGGAAGTCTCTTGTAGCCTCCCTCGAAGCTGCCTGCCATTAGTCGACTGCAACTACTAAAAATTTTAGCCCATGTTTCTTGAGAGACTGATAGACAAACCCCTCTTTACCTACACTCATTTCACTTATTTAAAGTAGACTACGAAGACCAACTATATTGCTGAGCCTCTCCTGCTGCTACTCCTAAACTTGATCCCATTCATTATCAACGATTACGTTTTGACTCATGAAATCGTAATAACCCTATTGCAAAGGAATCACGCAACAGGTGAGTGGTTAACACACTGGTCTGTGACGTTTAGGTCTCGTTTGCCAAGTCTCACCCGTTCCGTGATTTGATTGTTTTCTGTCCAATGTTTCCCTGTCTAGAGCTCTATAAACAGGTAAACAATCCGTCTTGACAAGACTGACACGATCCTCACTGTTATATTTCCTTCCATGACCTTCACGATCGTACATTTATAGAACAATTACGGATATTAATAAGACTAATTTATTTAACCGTCTCCCTCACTTATTACGCCCCATTTAATCACTGCATTTTTTTCCCAACTTCCTTGGGAAGCTCCAGTGATTCAGGTTTGTTGCTCGCTGCTTCATGCCTGAAGGCTGGCTGACTTGCCTGCTACAAACTTGTGTTCAGTCCCTCGTGAACTCTTCCATTCACTTTCTTATGCAGATGCGGTGTATACTGACGCATCTAAATGTCTGTATGGTGTCGGGTATGCGGCTGTTTTTCCCGAAAGAATAATCCAAGAACATTTACTAGAATCTGACATTTTCACAGCACTGAGCTCTCTTATAAAGCTCCTCTGCATATTGCAAATTTTTGTAAATTCGATTGACAATATACATGTAAATTCGTATAGCACGTGTAAAGGCCTCCACATGACGCGCCATGCAATTATAGACTCACAAAAAATCGCACTGTATTGAATAACTTCATCAGAGATTACTGTACATGCAAACCTGTCTGCTATCATTGATTTTCATCGTCTGCATCACCGTAACAAACTGGCCTTGCACAAAGTCCCACCTTTAACGTAGACTCTGACCTTTTAATGATCATTAATCTATTGCACCAACTATACTATCAATTTTTAACTTTCACTAATCTGCCTCTCCCCATCCCTCCACTAACTCCTGCCCTGTAACATCCACACTTCATCACTCTACAATCTTATTTGCGGTCGATTTGTGATCATTATCGACATATTTTCGTTGCCTTTTACGTGATCGCATTTCGCTCTGTTTTTGTCGTGAGGTTCGAAAGTCTCCGTATGAGACTATTGATGTTCCCGAGCATCAACCGTTGCTCAAACTTTAACACGTAAAACATCTACTGATTTTCGTGTAAATCATGCTAGATGAAAAATGTTCGATACGTAGTGAAAACTTACTTAGAAAAAAGGTTGCACTATCAACACACAAAACAAAAATAAAAGCAATGCAAACACCATGCTGGCAAGAAGAAGTAACAAAACACAACTAACTAGTGCTATAAAAAGATACGATCACCGTCACACTACACTACCAGCGCCGAATAGCGTACATAAACAGTTACACCCTTTAATGAGTTCAAGCTGGTATAATAGCTCTGAGTTGCCAATCCATGGGTGTTAAGTAAGCTTCACTATGACGGTTTCCGATGTACACCATACCGTCAAAAGGCGCTAGGCAGATGGTATCCTGTCTACCCCCTGACGCGGTGCAATATTAATTTGACAGGACTACTTCGGTGGTACAGTGTCCACCCTGAAGCTTCCAGAGCAATCATCAGAACATGAGATTACTCTGTTTTGGTCTGGATGTTACTCTGAGTCCTCCCTGGGTCAGGACCATCGGTTATGGTAATACAGTAAATTTATGAACGGTTGTTGGTCCTGATTATTATGGGTGGTGTCGCTAACCTTAAGGATTATACAGCGCCTGTGATGGGGATGAAAGTATTCAGGTTTAATTCAGGAAACAGGAACACAGATCCAGTTCCCTAAACCCAGAACCCCTCACCAAAGGTTCCATTCACCAAAAGTTTTATTCAAGGGGTTCACCTTGAATGAAACCTTTGGAAATCCCATCGCTCTTGAAGCCTGAATGACTATATTCTCAGGGCCTTACGATAACCTCAGGGCCTTACGATAACCTCAGGGCCTTACGATATCCTCAGGGCCTTACGATATCCTCAGGGCCTTACGATAACCTCAGGGCCTTACGATAACCTCAGGGCCTTACGATAACCTCAGGGCCTTACGATATCCTCAGGGCCTTACGATATCCTCAGGGCCTTACGATATCCTCAGGGCCTTACGATATCCTCAGGGCCTTACGATATTCTCAGGGCCTTACGATAACCTCAGGGCCTTACGATAACTTCAGGGCCTTACGATATCCTCAGGGCCTTACGATAACCTCAGGGCCTTACGATATCCTCAGGGCCTTACGATATCCTCAGGGCCTTACGATGTCCTCACCTCGATTTCGTCCCCTGATGTAAGAATTACATTGTGTGCGACTGAATATACCGGGTAAACACAACTTTTGTTCCCACTATGTAACTATCTCGTAGAAAAGGACAGAAGTTTTGCTTTAGAATTTTAAATTAGTTTCCCCATTCAGTCTCTTGATCATTAGCCACCAGGTTAGTTTCCCTTGTTGTATAGACCGTGCCGTACTTGTTCATGAAACTGTGTATACTCTAGTTTTAGACAAACGTATTTTGCTGTGTGTGCAGATTTGTGGCCGATTATCACATTTTTCTCTGTCCTCTACGCTCTGTTGAGCACCTTTCAGCTTCTATTTTCTTAAGGTCGTCGGAGGTTCGATTAGTCTCTTCTCTATGGAGAGTTTTCTATGCTCCGGGACTAATCTTGTTGTAAACCTTTAAGCTATCGTAATCTCTCTCTCTTTTCAGTATTTACTAAATTGCGTAATGAATAGATTTTTGAGCACAGCATGAAAACTGTTATGTTACAAACACACACACACACACAAACACACAAACACACAAAAACACAAAAACAAACACACACACACACACACACACACACACACACACACACAACACACACACACACACACACAAACACACACACACACACACACACACACACACACACACACAACTACGTACATACACATGTGTTACCCATTAACGTAGGTTCAGCCTAGGTAATAACACATGGTTTCCCTGCCTATGTAGGGTCAGTAAGGGAGGCGTGTGACGCTGTGACGGGTGTGTGCGAGTGTCGACCTGGTGTGGGAGGCAAGAACTGTGATCGCTGTCTACCAGGCTACTACGGTCTCCATAGAGTCACTGAAGGTGCCATCGGCTGCTCACGTGAGTACATTTGTCACCTTTGCTTCAAGGGTAGGCAAGATTCATCAGGAAACATGACAGATACCTCTTGACACGAGATCTGGTCTTACGACCGAGGTCCTTCCCTGGCTTCCAGGACCATTGCTATGGAAATTAGAGGTAAGGCCATTTATGAGACGGTTTGGTAAACTGGTCTCGTCCGTGCGTGTTCCTTCACACGTGTTTATCATTGTATTCGTCTGTGTTCATCCCTGTCTATTCCTCTACACGTGCTCTATACCTATTTTTCCCTCTTGTTCATCAACACGTGTTCATTCCTGACTGTTCATCCCCTCTCTCGCTGTCTCACCTTTCTCCCTCTCTATTCATCGTCTGCGTGTTCTCCTACACTGCACCCGTGTGTTGACAGGAATGCGTATGCACGTGCGGATGTTCCGTGTTCGGACGTCGCTACGCACCGACTGCATGCTAAGATCCACGAGAATGCTATGCAAACAGGTGTATCCGCAGCATCGTAGCAGAGTGTGTCCGAGGAGCAGGTGGATTACGCCGCCGGAATGTTGTATGATGGTGAGTTCCTTTCATGATCCCATCGAAGCTGCGATAGCCGAGTTGTGGGTAATGGTGCTATGATAGCCGAGTTGTGGGTAATGATGCTATGATAGCCGAGTTGTGGGTAATGGAGCTATGATAGCCGAGTTGTGGGTAATGGTGCTATGATAGCCGAGTTGTGGTAATGGATGCTACGATAGCCGAGTTGTGGGTATTGGTGCTACGTAAGCCGAGTTGCGAGTGTAAAGACGACATGCTGAATGAGCTTTTAACTAGGACTGTTAACTGAGGCTTGAAATAAATACCTTGTCGGCTTTATACCTATTCTTTCTACAAAATTACGTTCCAGTTAGTATTTGTAGTTACAACAGCAGTTATGTTGGCGGTGAGTCAGTCTTCAAGGGTAGATGCCTTACCTGGAGTACACCTAGAGACGGTTTCGGGGGTCAACGCCCCCGCTGTCCGGTCTGTGACCAGGCCTGATATAGGCTGATGGCAGGGTCAATTTTTTTTTGGAGGAAACCCATCATCGTTGTAAGTGTGAACCCTGTCAGAAAAGTCATTCTCTAATTACTGTCGTGAATCCAATGATTCCAAGTTTTGTAACTGTATCAGTAAACTGTCGATTTTGCATCTTCACGGCCTAAAATCTGCACGGCCTAAAATCTGCACGGCCTAAAATCTGCACGGCCTAAAATCACCGGGATTAATCATCTTTATGGGGTTTATTAGCTATTAAAGACTGATGCTGTTCAGGAGATTTATATTCGATTTAATGTGATTGATAAGGAAAAATCACACTATTTCACACACACAACTGGCAAATATACACCTACACACCTCGGCAACACTGGTCGCCGCCTCCAGTGTTGTATACACCGGTGTCGTACGTCTGAAGTCAATCGAGTCTGTATAAGAGTTTAAGACCTAACCCAAGATTCTTGGCATGGTCTGTATAACTGTGAGCAGAGGGGCACCGGAGTGCCCATGCTTGCTGGAGTCACTACCCTGTTTAGTAAACCAGTCTGGGGAATATGAAGGCTGTCTTGTGAGGCTCTGAAGTTACGAACGAAAGAAGAAAAATAAGAAAGAAATAGGGTAGCTACTTAAATTCACCCTTCGGGTATACCTATTAATAATAATAATAATTTATTATAATTATATATGAAAAACAACCACGGGAAGGCTGATGGCAGCACTAGACATTTTGTGTTGCAATCAACATAGCAGAAGTTAGCAATGTTGCTGAAATGAATAGGTAGTCCGGGCAGATCCGTTCAAAGGAATGGCTCTTGTTATTATATAGAATTATTTAATTATTATTATTATTTTGTAAGCTTCTCTGGTTATAATAAGCTTCTCTGGTTATAATAAGTCAGAATAGGAATGCTGTGCCCGAAGGGTTTAGCTCTATCATAATAAAATTGATTAATTAGACACATGTGCAACATGTTGCACATGTGTTTAATTTATCAACGTGTCGGTTCCCTGAACCATTCATCTACATAATAAGATTATTGGTATAATTAAGGAGGGGAGGAAGGAATAGAGGAAGGAAGGGAGGGAGGCAAGCAGAGAGGGAGGGAGACCGGCAGGGAAGGAAGGAGGGAGGGAGACAGACAGGGAGGGAGGAAGGGAGGAAGACAGGGAGGTAGGAAGACAGGGAGGTAGGAAGACAGGGAGGTAGGGTGACCGACAGGGAGGGAGGCCTGGGTGCGGTGCTGGACACGCCTGTCGGAGGTGACGCGAGTAATTTGCATTTTTCTTCAAGTTGAATCTCATTAGCATACTCAGCAGCTGTGGCTGAGAATGAGTACTCAGTGAGTGCTAAGGAAGATAACCTCAGCACTATACCTACTGACTTATCTAGATCTCTCTCTCAGCTGTACGACCTCCCTAAGGGTCGTGATAATACAGTAATAAGAGTATGTTTGTGTGTTTTTCCAGAGGACCTCCTGGTGCCACAGGCCACGACCTGCGACCTGCTGCAGTGCCACTTCGGGGGTCGATGCCAGGAGCACGGAGGTGCCGCCACCTGTGTCTGTACCCACCACTGCCTTCCGGTAAGCCAGGCTTCGGTCAACCTCCTGGTAAGCCAGGCTTCCGTCCCTCCCGGTAAGCCAGGCTTCCGTCCCTCCCGGTAAGCCAGGCTTCCGTCCCCCCCCGGTAAGCCAGGCTTCCGTCCCCCCCCCGGTAAGCCAGGCTTCCGTCCCCCCGGTAAGCCAGGCTTCCTTTAAGCCGTCCACTCTTTCAGCCGTTAGAACTGATTGTGTGAGCAGAATGTATGGGCTGAACGAGTGGGCTGAACGAATGGGCTGAACGAGTGGGCTGAACGAGTGGGCTGAACGAGTGGGATGAACGAATGGACGTCTCTATCCAACCTCACCGTGCGTCTCTCTCCCTGGCGTCGGCATGGACGTGCAGAGCGGCGTCGGAGGGTCCCTGGCCGTGTGTGGGTCGGACAGGGTGACCTATGCGTCAGAGTGTGAGCTAAAGTACCAGTCGTGCGTCAAACAAGCGGATATCGTGGTCGTGGCCTTCGGCTCCTGCACAGGTCAGCTTCCCTTTCATATCCTTGAATTTATATTGATAAAGCCACGGAAGGGCGAAACGTCTACATGATACCCAGATGTTGCACATGGGTTTTATTCTTCAGTAGTTGTTTTGATGATTCTGTCATCCTTGGTAGGAGGTAGTCAGTCCCTGAAGCCTGAGGTAGGACCCATTTCCTACTATTGGTTACGGACTGATCACATCAAACTACTGCTATTTTTCCCAGTGCTGTGCTCACCTGTATTTGACTGATGAAATCTGTTATACAGGTGAAACCTTTCTCCCATAAAGATACCCAAGTGTTGTACACGTGTCTTATTCATCAAGGTGATGGTACCGCATTCCAAGCTTAGCATTGAAGCCTGGTTTGTGTGTGTTATTGTGGACAGAGTCGTGGACAGACGCTCCCGTCCGCCGGTCGACAGCAGAGGATGGGTGGGGCACAGAGGAGTGGGCGTGGGCGGGGAGAGGCCTTACTGAACACCACGCCCTCGCCACCCGCAGACACATCGATGCCGCCCACTTCACCCGCGCCCACTCGGCCAACTCCGCCCACTCCATCAACATGATCATCGAGTCCCCGACCCATGTGGTGACGCCCAAGAGTGGGCTGGACTCTGAGGAGCAAGCCCACATCTACCCCCATTCAGCTGCCTCCAAACATCCCTACACAGTGCCAGCCTTCTCTGGCACCTCCTACATACAGGTAACATCCTTAGTGCCAGCCTTCTCTGGCACGTCCTACATACAGGTAACATCCTTCCTTCATACAGGTAACAGGTAATATCTACATACAAGTAAAATTCTTCCTTAATGCAGGTAATCTGTCACTCCTGACCGAAACTGTCAGCCGTTTCTGACAGTACACACAGATGACACCATCAACTGTCTTATAAATCTAGATAAAAACATTCCACCAATCCATTACTTTCTTCAATAATTTCCATGACTTTCTTAAAAGCTTAAAAAAATCTGACAAACAAGAATTTACAGACCAGAAACTGAATTATTACTCTCGAAACTTAGCTTTCTAAAGTATTCACTCACTTTCTATTCAGGGTTTCCTCGATTTTGACAACGCTTTCAGGGTCACTAGGCTATTGGTTAATGGTTATTATTATTATTAAATATTCGCCGGTATTCTCCCGGCCCGGGCCTTTTCCAAGTGGTGGCCCGGCCTTGGTTAATGGTATTCCCTTTTTTTTTTTGATACCATATGTGGCATTTTTCATCTATCTGCCTCTTCGTCTTGCCATAAAATCCTAAGGGAATTTCAATGAAGAATTAAACACATGTACAGCATCTGGGTATTGTGTCTAATTCTTCATCTCGTCGATTTTTTATACCATACTTGTACAATAAGAAGTTCAGTGCTCGTAGGGTAGCTATTGTAAATATTCTTTTGAAATTGAGATAATATCCCGTCTGATTCTTTTTTTTTCCCCCATTGATAGTATCCTGAAGTAAATAACAAAAGCCACAATACCGTGACTGGAACAATACACAAATAACCCGCACGTAGAAGACAGGATCTCATGACGACGTTTCTGTCCGATTTGGATCATTTACAAAGTCACAATAACCATTTACAAGTGTGACTTTGTAACTGGTCCAAGTCGGACTGAAACGTCGTCATGAGCTCCTGTCTTCTATGTGCGAGTTATTTGTGTTTGCTGGAGTAATTTCCCAACTTCGTTATGCGGTTATTTCAGTATCCTCCATTTAATCCATCTACTTAGAATTTAATGCTGGTGAGGGGCTCTTGATCTAGAGAATTGGATCTATGCTCCGGTTTCCTGAATTGAGTCTGAATACCTTCTAATCCCCCCCCCCACATGCGTTGTATAATCCTATGGGTTTAGAGTTCCCCAATGATTATAATAATAGTACTTAGAATTTAATCCTCCATATTTAAAAAAATATCTCGTTTACAAACTCTGGATATTAATATTACGTCACACATCCACCTCAACTTTACTGATCGTCTAGTTCTTTATTTTTTGTATATTGTCTACGATATTTAGATGAATGGTTTAGGGAACCGATAAGTTGATAAATTAGACACATGTGCAACACTTGGGTATCTTTATTGAGGAAACGTTTCGCCCACAGTGACTTCATCAGTCCATACCAACAGTGGTGAAGAACAGGAGGAGTTTTAGGCTGAGGGACTGATTACCTGAAACTTCTCCTATTCCTGACCATTCTCCTTTGTATGGACTGATGAAGCCAGTGTGGCGAAACGTTTCCTCATTAAAGATACCCAAGTGTTGCACATGTGTCTAATTGTCTTCGATATTATGTTTACATGACGCGAAGTTGGATTAAAGATCTGGTTCTGTTTTTCTCTTATTCACTCTCTCTCTTATTCTCTCTTTCTCTTATTTACTCTTTCTCTTCTGAAGTTTCTTTCTGCTTCTGTTCTGATTTTTGGATATTTATTTTTGAACAGTTTTCATCCCTGGTTAGTTTCTCGCGTCTCTTGTTTCGTGCATTAGTTCTTTGTTCTTTGTCGTAGTTCTTCAGTAACTTCCACTAAACCATTCTCATTACCTTTTTTTTCGTATTCCTTTTTGTAATAAACTGTTTGACTCCATTTTTGAGTAAAGTTTGTTACGTAACTCTTCACAAATTCTCAGTATCATTCTCACTCTCCTTTTTTTTTTTTACACAGGGTTTGACAAGGTTAAGGATCCCTAGCTTTATTGACAAGCTATTTACAGGTTAAGGATTCCTAACTTTATTGACAAGCTATTTACAGGTTAAGGTTTCCTAACTTTATTGGCAAGCTAAGAGCTGTTACCTACATCAGCTCATTTGAAAGCATTTTTATTGTTATGAGACATACAAGTAGGGAACAGGATGAAGTTGAAGCCATCTGCGGGCCAGCATCTCTCTCTCTCTCTCTCTCTCCTCTCTCATATTCCATTTAGTGACTTATTAGCCATAGGTAACAGCAAATGTTATTTCTAACACGTGATCACTCTTTTCAAGGGGAGGTGTAGCCTATTTTGAGGCTAATATTGCTGTTCTACATAATACTGGGTCTGGTATTGACGTGCGTTGTCTTCTTTCACCTCTATCACGTCAATGAAATGATGGGATCTAAAAAATATCCGGCATTGCCTTTTGCAAATTCTGCTGAGTGTTTATTGGCGTTCCAGGATCATAAACTTGCCCAATTTACAGTTTGTTCTTAATAGTAAACTCCTCCAGTTACGAAGCTTACGTAAGCTTGTGTCTCCTATGTCCGGGTTATTTGTGTATTGTTCCAGTCATGGTATTGTGCCTTTTGTGTTCTTTACGGAAACTAAATTTTTAAGTCAGTTTTACGCGTAGTTCTCTTAATGTATTATGTAATCTCTCGTACGAGACTTCTCTCACTCGTGTGTTTTTAAACGCTGGGTTAAGTGAATTAACTAGAATGGGATTTGTATCTTCAGTTTGGATTTTTTGTCAAGTTTTTTTTTTTTTGTTTTCTCAGTTTCATTATCTTGTAGTGCTGTTTGTATATGAAAAAACACTTCAGTCCAGAAGCTTTCTTCTCTCTTCCTGTCGATTCTCTCTTGCCTCTCTCTCCCTCTCTACCCACAACTTTTCTCACTGCTCTTTCCTACCTCCCTCCTTCGCTTCCTGTCATCCCTTTTTTGTCCTAAACAAAATAAAAATACTTGGCGAGCTTTCTGCTTCACTCTCCCTGCCTCGTACATGTAAACAATACATGGTAGATAGCCCTTAATAAAAGAAGATAGTATTCCTCTGTAGATAGCCTGGGTGCGAAATTTTTAAGTCTCTTGTACTGTTATCTGCTGTCTCTCACTTTCTTATATACATCCCCCTTATATCTCCCTCCCTTATCTGTCTCCCATAAGCCCCTGTGTACTGTCATGAAGGATAATTCGTGTGTGTTTGTGTACAGCTGATGCCCTGGTCAGTGCCATCCAAGGTACAAATGGAGGTGGAGTTCGTGGCTCACGAAGCTACTGGCATCCTGCTCTACGTCCAGCAGAACCTTGGGGGTCTTGGGGACTTTCTGGCTCTTGTGCTCAACGACGGGTGAGTTGTGTTCAATAGTTGGGAATATTGTTCTCAAATAAGCGTAAGTTACCTGAGCTCATCAACTGTAAGCGACGTGTTTTCAGAAACAACATAAGTGCAATACTTGAGTATCTTCATTTTCGAAACTTTTCGCCTGCGCAGCAGTCTTCTTTAGTCGAATAAGGCGAATATAACACTGGAGACAATAGAAATAGTTTGAGGTGATCAGTCCCTCAGCCTTGTTAGGTGGCGACTGATTACCTGAAAATTACTGCTACTGTCTCCAGTGTTATATTCACAGGTATTCGACTGAAAAGGACTGCTGCGCAGGCGAAACGTACCTCGTTCCTTACAGACGATACAAGAATTTGCATGAGGGTGGTATCTATGGAACACACAGTGAGCCTCCAAGGTAATATAAACCGAGTCTTCCAGTGGACTACTGACAACGTGATGTTAATAAGGATAAATTCCAAATTCTATGATTCGGTAAAACTGAGGAAATGTTAAAAAGTTCAGAACACAAGACAAACTCAAATCATTTACTAAGAGCGGAAGTCTAATGTGAGAGACCTGGGAATAATAATGTCAGAGGATCTCGCATTAAAAAGAGCATAACAGTGTTGTTGTAGGTTGGATACCTACATTTACATAAGAAAGGAATACTACAGTAGGCCTACTGGCCCATACTAGGCAGGTCCTTCTCAAACCCAAACCCACTAACAAAAATTATTTGCCCAGCTCATTTTTATTGCAACCCAAACATTTATAAGAACTTCTTATAACATTATCTAATGACTCTTGTGGGTTTAACGCCTCAGTATGAGTGTAAAAATAATGATAAAGATTAAGACACATGTGCAACAGTTAGGTATCTTTATTGATGAAACGTTTCGCCTACACAGTAGACTTCTTCAGTCAAATACAAAGGGACCAGTAGTAATGAAATAATATAATCAGTCCATCAACCTGGAACGATATCGTTCCAGACCATCGAGCTGAACTCTTCTCCAGGCTGAGGGACTGACCACAAATACTTTTTCTATAGGGTTAGTAAACTGATTACATCTTTATATTATTCCTACGGCTCCGTTTGTATTCGACTGGAGAAGCCTACTGTGTAAGCGAGGAGCTTCCTCAGTAAAGATTCCCAATTGTTGAACATGTGTCTTAATCTTCAGTTTATCGATATACCAATTTCAACAGAAATAATAATAACTTGTTGACTCAACCAGGCATCTTGAGGCTCGTATTGACGTGGGCAACGGCCCAGTGTTGCTGAGATCACCACAGCCAGTGTTGTTGTTCACCCATACGCAGGCAACCCTCACCACTTACACCAGGTGAGGCACCTAAACCTAGTCATAATTATTACTAGGGGTGTATGTTGTGAAAAACCTGTGGGAGTTATGACGGCGTGGTGGAAGCTCGATCCTCCGGCCACTGGTTGCTGGCTAGTTTGACCGGTCAGATTGCCTAGTAATCACGTGTTATTCAAAGAGTAGATGTGAATGTTGCATAAACCGTGTTATATATAGACTTGCAATCTCTCTCTCTCTCTCTCTCTCTCTCTCTCTCTCTCTCTCTCTCTCTCTCTCTCTCTCTCTCTCTCTCTCTCTCTGAGTATTTTCTCCGGACAGGGACGCTCTTCTACAAGTGGGCGTAGGAGAAGCTGTGTCAGTGCGGTCAGAGGGCGTGCACCGGGCCCTGGATATACACGCTCCACTCTACGTGGGCGGTGTGCCCAGCCTCACGCCCAGGGTACACGCCAATGTGGGCGTGGGGAAAGGGTTCCACGGCTGCATCCACTCCCTCAAGGTCGGCCAGCGAGCACTTGACTTGGTGAGTTTTGTTGATGATCTAGTGATCCTGGTCTCTAGTTTACTAATATTCAGGTTCTGTAGTTCATTTATGTTCCTCATGCTTCTGTTTATAGTTCACGTGTGTTCTTCTTTATAGTTCACGTGTGCTCTTGTTTATAGTTCACGTGTGCTCTTGTTTATAGTTCACGTGTGTTCTTGTTTATAGTTCACGTGTGTTCTTGTCTGTAGCTTAGACTGCCAAGGTTTTTCTGTAACGAGTTTGAGAGGTCACCGGACAACCTTGTGTGACCCTGTAGGTGTGGGGACGCTCTGGAAGTGTAGGTCATGCCCACAACGTGAGTGAGTGCCGCCCATCGCCGTGCGCCGCCCATCCTTGCATCAACGGAGCAACCTGCCGCCCACGCTCTCACAACCTGGGCTTTATTTGCGAATGTCCCATCTCGTATACAGGTGGGTGCTATCTCCCAACACCGGTACACCCCTTTAAAAATTACAGTCATAGTTATAACCAATTAGCATTTTTTCCGCTGTGCTTGATTGTTCATTTATTGGGAATATAGAGATACGATATAATAACCTGTGTGATACGTCGAGATAAACTTATTAATAAAAATAACATACCAGACATATTAAGTAAATATTCCACGTTTGTTTCCTTACTCATAGATATAAATCCAGATGTACTCCAGTTAACCATTTTGGGTCTAGTTCCTGGGCCTTTTGTTTGTCCATATGCTCTTACGCTCCCGTCCAAAGGAAGGATATGGTGTACACAATCAACTTGCCGTCTTGGCAAGTCTATTGTGCACTCGGTTGTCGCTGTTGTTGTGGTCCATTATAGTGACACTGTCAAGTCTTGGTAAGCCAGTTGTCGCTGCTATCGTGGTCGATTATAGTGGCGCTCGAGCACCGAATTAAGCCAGGGTGAACAAAAATCTAGCCTACAGCAAGGCGTCAGTCCTTGTTTCACCCACTCTACGGTAACTCACAATGCGCAAAAACACAACTTAGAGTATAATCAAGAAAGTGTTGGAATACATGAAATTCTTTGTAGTAGTTGTGGTAGAATATATGTCGGAGAAATGGCCAGAAACCTTTCAATGTGCACGAACCAGTACACACTTGCAGAACAGGCAATCTCAATCACAAGACACTTGTGCAGCACTTGGGTGTATTTGTGGAAACGTTTCGCCAACCAGTGGCTTCATCAGTCCAATACGGAAATGATGTTTGAAGATCAGAAGAATTTTGACGTAATCAGTCCCTCAACCTGGAGTCGATGTGTTTAGTCCATCAGTCTAGAAAAGAGTGCAGCATCGACTCCAGGCTGAGGGGACTGATTTCCTCAAACTCCATTTGATCTTCAATCATTCTTCTCTGCATTCGACTGAGGAAGCCACTGGTTGGAGAAATGTTTCCATAATAAAGAAACCCAAGTATCTGCATCATCAGTCAATAAACATTGATGCAGATCAGAGGAGGGAAACTCTGATTTATTTTACCTAACTTGCAACCAAATTTTCACACTATTTTGCGTGTAAAATTGGCAGATGTGCACCTGTACACTTCCCTGTCCTGACCTTCCTGCCGTGGCCTGTCCTGCCCTTCCTGCCGTGGCCTGTCCTGCCCTTCCTGTTGTGGCCTGTCCTGCCCTTCCTGCCGTGGCCTGTCCTGCCCTTCCTGCCGTGGCCTGTCCTGCCCTTCCTGCCGTGGCCTGTCCTGCCCTTCCTGCCGTGGCCTGTCCTGCCCTTCCTGCCGTGGCCTGTCCTGCCCTTCCTGCCGTGGCCTGTCCTGCCCTTCCTGCCGTGGCCTGTCCTGCCTTCCTGCCGTGGCCTGTCCTGCCCTTCCTGCCGTGGCCTGTCCTGCCCTTCCTGCCGTGGCCTGTCCTGCCCTTTCTGCCGTGGCCTGTCCTGCCCTTTCTGTTGTGGCCTGTCCTGCCCTTTCTGTTGTGGCCTGTCCTGCCCTTCCTGCCGTGGCCTGTCCTGCCCTTCCTGCCGTGGCCTGTCCTGCCCTTCCTGCCGTGGCCTGTCCTGCCCTTCCTGCCGTGGCCTGTCCTGCCCTTCCTACCGTGGCCTGTCCTACCCTTCCTGCTGTGGCCTGTCCTACCCTTCCTGATGTGGCCTGTCCTGCCCTTCCTTCAGCTTCACTCTCCTCCCTCGTCGAAGTAGGAGGCGCCTGTTGTTCAACATCTGAGGCCAAACAGCAGAAGCATTTCAAAGTTATCAGACCTGTTGCAGGAATCCTGTAACTGGTTCTGCAGCTATGGTCACAAGGCAGCTACACACGACATTACTGGCCAGAATCTTGCCCTGGTTACCGTACATCAGGCTTAAACATTTTCTCGGCTGAACATATAAATCCTTCCTGTATAATGAAGGAGATTAAAACCTAAATTTAGAAGAAGTAAGAGAAAATTTTAAGAAACTGCTTAAGTGTCCCTGATAAAAGGTGCCTGATGAAATATTCTATGACTACAGTACTTGTCGCTTAACATATTGCTTCGTTATCCATATATCATTACCGTATATTTCTATTGAATTTAGCTAAGAACAAGAGTTGTCTTAGTACTTGCTTACGGCCAGCAGTAATAGCCTGGTTAATCAGGCCCTCATACACCACAGGGCCTGGTCATGGACAGGGCCGCGGGGGTGTTGACCCCACTGAACACTCTCCACATACACTCCAGGTGTACACGGGTAAAATTTATATCTTGATGTGTAATACAACTCTTTGGAGACTCGAGTGATGATTTATGAAGAGTGCAAGACGAGGAGCTCATGTACTCAGTGGTAAGGTGAATCTTGGAAAGGTGAATCTTGGTAAGGTGAATCTTGGTAAGGTGAAGCTCGGTAAGGTGAATCTCGGTAAGGTGAATCTCGGTAAGGTGAATCTCTAAGGTGAATCTGTCGTGGGGGTTCGGAAGGAGATATAAAAGTTGAAGATGTACACACTTGTTGGATGGTAACACTATATATTGTCAGACTGTGGTAAGGGAGGCCCAGCCTGCCGTGTTGCTGCCTGGTAGGTCTAAGTGTGGACTGAGAGCGAGGTAGCGCATCCCACTCACTCATGCTGCATCCCGTGACGTCATACAGTCACTAGGCCTAGTAAGGATCGTCTATATAAAACACATGGATGGTACTATGACACTCAGCTAAGCTATACAACACACGTAAGGGGATCAGCAACTATGCTGACAGCTCGGTCATGTTACGTATGTCGTCTCGACATACACTACTATGCTATAGGCTGAACAGGCAGGTGGTTCTGGGCTGATTCTATACAATAACAAAGACATATGTAACTTAGAACTAATGGATGGTATCATAATGGATGTTAACATAATGAGTTTTAACGTAATGGGTGTTAACGTAATGAGTTTTAACATAATGCATTACGACTTATAAGAATAAATCATAGTAGTGCTGAAGGCGGCTGAGTGGCTCCTGCGGCTGAGTGGCTCCTCCTGAGCAGTCCATTCCTGAGTGGCTCCTTTTCCTGAGTGGCTCCCTTTCCTGAGCGGACTCCTTTTCACACCTATATGCTAATGACCTTGACCTCGCCCTCAACCCCCACCCACGCCCCTCACCCACGACCCCCACCCATGACCCCCACCCACGATCCCACCCTCAACCACCTCACCCTCAACCCCCACCCACGCCTGCCCGACTGGCGCCCCGCCCACACGCCCGCCCTCGCGCCTGCCAGTGCCTTCTGCAGCGTCGTCCGGATCGCCCCCGCTCCCCGAATTTTTTTCCGAATTTTTTCGAATTTTTTTTGAATTCCATTTTTTTGTGCTCTCCATCTCCTCGGATCAAATTTTTGAGGTTCCCCTTCCCACTTTCACCCCCATCCCAATTTTTGGGGGGAATTTCATTTTCTTATGATCTCCTTGGATCAGGTTTTCTCGATAATACAAAGACTTCAATTCCTCGCATCAAGTTTTTCTCGATATCAACAATACCAAGACTCCATCTCCTCGGATCAAGTTTTTCTCGATATCAATACAAAGATTTTCCCCCCACACCACACCCATCCCAAATTCCCTGCTCCAATTCCTCGGATCAAATTTTTCTCGAAATCAATAATACCAAGTCTCCATCTCCTTGGATCAAGTTTTTTCTCGATAATACAAAGACTCCATCTCCTTGGATCAAATTTTTCTCGATATCAACAATACCAAGACTCCATCTCCTTGGATCAAGTTTTTGGATTCTCCCCTCTGGGGGTAAGTATTCAAATGAACTCCTCCTATGGAGCATGGTACTTTCTCTTACTACAGGTCTAAACAAGTGTGACGTCACCCCACCTGTGTTTACTCGGCGGTCAGTGACGTCACGTGATGACCTCACACATACAGGCTGAATCTTGTCGACTTCCCCCTATGTCAGTGACGTCACGTGATGACCCCCCACACACAGGCTGAATCTTGTCGACTTCCCCCTACACATTTTTCACTATTAACCCAGGATAACCCAAATAATTTCACATTTTTTTTTCGTTAATACCCACAACAATCCACAATTTCTTTACAAAATACAACACAAGTCTAGACATTTTTCTCGTTTTAACTATTTCATCAGAAAAAGTCACCACAACACTTACAACTTATAACCACTTTTCGATAAATTCACTAGTCACAATTTTACATATTACGAAGTTAATACGCACACACACCTCACTTTACTTTGAACACCTTCAAAACACTCTCATAAATCATTTGAATACTCCCAAAAATACCTTTGAACATTTAAAAACAACACTGAAACACTTCCAAAATATCATTTAGAGTACTCCCAAATACACCACAGAATACTACTAAAACACCACTGAGTACAGTCAAAACACCACCAAAATCACATAAACTAAGATCAACATAACAGACTAACACCAATTTTCACACAATCCCCTCAAATCACTATAACCAAGACGATTACCAATTCTATGAGTACACTCACCTCCAACTAAGATATAACTGAACGCAAAAAAAAAAAACATGAACACAAACCAAAACACACACGAACACTTACAACAGAATCAACTCTTTTTTCGATATCTCTAGTTCGACAACAACACCCACAACACCCACAACCCACATCACCCACACCCCACAATTTTTTCTCGTTTTAACTAATTTCATCAGAAAAGTCACAACAACACAACCACAACTTATAAACACTTTTCAGCATCTCTAGTTCGACAACAACACCCACAACCCACAACACCCACAACCCATAACACCACAACCCACAACACCCAAACCACATCACCACAACCCACACACCCACAACAACACCAACTTATAACATATTTTCGGTATCTCTAGTTCGACAACAACACCCACAACCCACAACACCCACATCTCACAACACCCACAACCCACATCACCCACACCCCACAACACCCACAACAACAAACTCACAACTTATAACCACTTTTTCAGCATCTCT